TATGTGAAACATATGCAACTTCGAGATAAACACACTTGCAACATGTGTCTGAAAAACAGATGAAACATTGGGAACAGAAGCTTGCAACATATGTGTAAAACTATATGCAACATCCTGACCTACTTTTGCAACATCCATATGAAACACTTGCAACATACCTATGAAACATCTGAAACACTTGAAACATATACTTGTAACATGCGTTTTTTCACCCTTCTTCTTCCGGACAACGCTGAGCAGAGTGGGAATGACCAGTTCCGGCCAGCCGGAGTCCAAGGATGGTGGTACGGCCTGGCAGCCGCCAGCTGTGCATGCGCCTGGCTTGGGCCCAACCAGTGATAGCCCCCTCTCCTGGCCGCCTGGCCACACACTGCAGGCGGAAGGAGCTGCAGATCTCGGCGAGGTCAGAGAGGATGCCCGCGGGGAGTGAGGGGCCCGGCGGCGCGGCGACGGGGTGCGAGAACGGGGAGCGGCACGCGCTATGGTGGCCCGTCGGGGTGGGCCGCTGGGAGTTGGTGGGGGTTGGATTGAGGAGCGGGTGCAGGAAGCAGCACCCATGCTCTCGTACAAGCAGGCAGCGACTTTGTTTCCCGTCTATAGGAAGAAGAGGTGCTGACGTTGGAGCCTACGTGTAAGAGAGAGGGAGGAAATATGTGGGGTGGGCCGATTGGGCTGCTGGCTGTTTGGCCCAGGCAGAGGGAGCGAGCGCGTCTAGACGGGAGTCACGGGGCAGACGGCCGTGACGTATCATTATCGTTGTTCTTGCTGCTCCTCATATATGCACTCGCCTGGCTTATCACGTCCCTTTCAAGACTTCTTGTTTTAGTAGCCTTTTTTTGCGAATTACACAAGTACAGGCGCTGACACTCAACACGTACGCACACTCACACCTATGAACACACGTACGCAATGTATGCACAATAAGTTTCATGAACATGTAAAGTTTCACCTGTTTTTGTTCAGAATCTATGCAGTTGATCCAAGCCCTGCAAATCCGTTAGGACGAAACCTCCTAATCCCAATACCCGACATGCTTCCATATAGGAATTTTGTTGAAATTATTGGTTTTGCTAATTTCGGGTATATCGGGTAAAACTTGAATTATCGAGTACCCAGAATTTTGAACAATGCTTTTTCAAGGCCAAAGTCGAGTAGCAATTTCTAATAACCAAAGTTCCAATTACCCAAATTACCCAATCCGAAATTTTGGGTTACCCCAATGGCCAACCCTAATTGTAGTGTAAGGGCAAAGATTTATTAAGTTTGTTGTGTTGCGTTTCAGAGCCATTAGTTCTCTCAAAACCTTAGTTGTGATCCATTCATCTAAAAAGGATCCAATGCAAAAGCAGTTAGTACATCGGTTAATTTGAGCCCTGTTGTGAGCACTGGGCAAAGTTTCTTTACCAAGATGTAATCTGTTCATGTCGGCCCCATACAAAATATGGCAATAATATCCTGCAGTTCTCAAAACCTTAGTTGTGATCCATTCATCTAAAAAGGATCCTGAAAATGGTACTATACTTGCTCGCAGATCATCATATTCCGGCTGCTGGCAACCAGCAGTTAATTATGACTAACAAAGGGACAAAAGAATCTTGATTCGTTACAGATAGTTTGGAGTGTTGTCCTGGCTGTCTTCAGATTGTTGCTGGTTTTCTATACGTTGCCAGCTTGTTTAGTTAGTTATAAAACTTCGGCGACAGTATGTCATCAGTATGCATGGCGTGCACAATATCTTAAAGGTTCATGATTAAGCTCGTGTATGGTCTTTAATCTAAAAATGTCTCAGCTGTTTCTTTCCTGGAAAAAAGAGGTTGTCAATCATTCATGGGTAATTGATCTAAAAATGTTTTTTTTCCTTACTTCATCCTTTTGAGAGAGGAACACGGCACCATAGAGGCAATCTCTAATCAGTGGCTCCATTAGCAGGGGAGCATCACAGTTTGTAGCTCGCATGCTGGGGTCCTCACACTTGGTGTGCAACATGTTGAGCGCAACCAGTCTTCAAATGTCATATATGTCTCTGTACTTGATGTAGAAGTTGACATAGATGAAGTGACATAGATGAAGCAAATCGTTAGTTTTCACCAAATTGGGGCTTGATCCTCCTCGTTGGTGAAGAACACAAAGTAGATTTATAGTAGGAGCACCTAGACATGGATATCGTGCTTCCAAGACTTTTCTGTGCCTAATACTCCATCTATTCCAAATTATAAGTCGCTTTGATTTTTGGTACTTCCATTTTGCTATGCATCTAGATATAATATTATGTCTAGATAGATAGCAAAATGAATGAACCAAAAAAATCAAAGCGACTTATAATTTGGAACAGAGGGAGTAGATCGCTTCTTGGTTGATGTACGCAGGTAACTAGTTTGGGGGTGAGCTCCGTCTTATTCATAGCGCTGTGGGTCTAGGGCCCATGCGAAAAAAGACTTAGAGTTGCCGCCGATCACAACAGTGACTTACCTCATATATTAGGCAATATTTTTGGTGGATTCATCACTTGTGTGCCAAGTTAACATGTTCCAAGATAAGACACCCTCGTTTAGCTAATCAATTATGATAATTACTCATTAGGTGTTTACTCGGTAGCCCTCTCTTTGTATTAATTTTTAGTAACATATATGATTAATCTTTAAGGTATCTTCTTTCTCTCCTTTGTTCTTTTAATTATTGCCCTGGTTTTCTCCCTACACAACGCATCATTGTCTACACAATACACCCTTCCAATTAGCTAGTTAATAATAGCAATTAGTGTTTTTCTTGTTTGTTCTGCTTTCATATTAATCTTCAATGGCATTTATGACTTAAGGTTATCTTCCTCTTAACTTATATTATTTTTATTGTTGCTAGATTGGTCGAATGCAGGTTAGGGACTTAGGCCTTAATTAAATTAATTATGTTCCCCTTTCTTTGTGTTTTTCAAATTTAGATTTTTTTAGCTTTCTTTCGTATTGCAAAGCATATATTGATTTAGTTATTATCTATGCTTTTGTCAAGTCAGTATAGATGTATATGTTATTTCATCATATATAATTGTCGCTAGCAAAATTGCTAAAATAAGCCCATATGTATAAAATCTTGGCTTCGCCCCTACTTTGTGGAGATGAGAGAAAGGTATAAGCCGAGCCATATGCTCTCGTGTGTCTCGTGTCATGAGCTCTGGCTCAAGCGGTGGGACTACATCATGAGTGTTATGGCCCAACAAAGGTTTTACAGCTACAAAATGTTTGACGCAGTGTTGGAGGATGATGATATAATGCACTAAGTCTCGAACTCCTGCGACGAGTCTATCAGTCTATGTTTGCCACTAGGATTTAAACTTTTACCGTTGTCTATGTTTGCTATCTGTCTATGTTTGCTATCCGTGAAAGTAAGAAGAGTGGGAGTGAGAAAAGATGACAGAGGAGTGCGTGACGAGGACAGAGTGACAGACTAAAATGGGTGAAAGGTGGAGACGGAAAAAAATTATCGCATTTAATTTTTAGTATTATATATAGATAGATTTATGCCTTTCTAATTTGTTTGATCCAAGTTATAAATGACGATAATGATAAGCCACGGTCGTCCATCTATGACTTCTGTCTGGACGCGCGGCTCCGTAGGAGCGGGCCCCAGCTCTCCATCTCTCTAACAATCAGAAAAACGAATCCCCACTCCCTCGTCCTTATCCGCCCGACGCCCGGCGCCCGACACAGCAGCGTGGCCGCTCATTCGTATGTGCCCCTTCTGCCACCGCTTGCTCGTCGGCTACTACGCTGTGCCCCACCACCTCGCGCCCCCATCGCTGGCTGCGCCACACGCCCATCCCAAACACCTGTGCCGCTTGCTCCCTCGTCGTCCGTCTGTCTCCTATTGCCGTTGCGCCATCGCTGACCTGGCCATGGCCACTGGGGCGCATGTGCCATGGCACCTCAGGTCTTTCCTGGCCGAGCCAAGGGTACCCATGAGCGCGGGCGTTGCTGGTGGTGCTCACGCGCCGCGGCTCGCCGCTGGCTCCGACTCCGACGACCAGAATCGATCGGCCCAGCCTTCCCCTCTTCTTTGTTGCATATGTATGTTTCAAGTGTTTTAGGCATTTCAGATGTGTGTTGCAGTTGTTTTATCTTGATGTTGCTAAAGTAGATGGATGGATGTTGCACATGTTGCAAGTGTTTTAGAGGCATGTTGCAAGCGTTTGTTCGAAATGTTTCATATGTTTTCAGACGTATGTTGTAATCGTTTTTATCTATATGTTGCATATGTTACAACAGTATGTTCCAAATGTTTCAGTGTTATGTTGCAGCAAGTGGTTTCATGTTGCAAGTTGCAAGTGTTTTATTTTGGATGTTTCATGTGTTTCATACACATGTTGCAAGAGGATGTTCTAAATGTTTCATCTATTTTCAATCTTATGTTGCATTCATATTGCAAATGTTTATGTTGTTCGTCCGGGGGCGAGCCGGGACCAGCGGATGGGGCACGCGGCGTGCCGGGAGGCCGACAGATGGGGGCGCTAGGGTCCGGCGGACGGAGGTGCTGGGGGGCGGCAGACGGGGTTGCTGTAGGTCGGGGCGCGCTGGGGGCGTGCTCGTCCTCAGCCGCGCATCCCAGCTCTCGTGTGTCGTCCGCATGGAGAGGTGGAGAGAGGAGAGAGTCAAGGGAAGGGCTGGCGGGTACAGAGATGGGGGTAGGGCGAAGGCAGAAGAGGGTGGGCTACGCGGGTGTCCAGACGCGCGCGTCCGTTCGAACGTCCGGGCACTAGCCATGTTCTATAAATTGTGAATAGAGTAGGATGGCTTCCTACCCACTTGCGTACTTTTTATTCCCACGAGGATAAAATGGTAGATAATTGCTATCCAGACATCGTGATTGCCAGATAAGTATGTCAAGCAGCTATCAGCTCTTATAAATAAAGCTTTTAAGTTTCAAAGCCGCCTCATTTCATATGCATGAGACAAGTCATCAACTCCGAGTCTCCCTCCCACACTGATCAGTTGACAAACGTCACTGGACCCATGGCGGCGCCACAACCTCGAGCGGCCCTCACTATTCACCACCTCCGCCGCCACCTCGTCCTCGTCGTGTTCACCGTGGCTGCCGCGGCAACACGAGGCGCTAGCACGCACACAACAGCGGCATCATCCGCACCGAGCGCAGCGATCGAGAGTCCATCGCCGGCGACGGCGTCCTTCCTCCGCGCACGCTGCGCCACCACGCTGTACCCGGCGCTCTGCTACAACTCCCTCCTCCCATACGCATCCGAGGTCCACGAAAGCCCCGCCCGTCTCGCGCACGTCGCCGCTGACGTCGCGGCGGCGCGCCTCCGCGCCCTGTCCGCCCGCGTCAAGGACATCCTCCGGCACGGCGGCGGCGGCACTGACCCTGGTCCAGCAGAGGGAGGCGGCGGCGGGCGGCCTAGTAGCGAGACCGCGGCGTTGCGCGACTGTGCGAGCACGATCTCCGCCGCGGCGAGCCTGGCGAGGCAGTCGTCCGCCGAGCTCACCAAGCTGGAGCCGGACCTGGACGCCGCCGCCGGCACGACGTTGCCAGCGTCGTCGTCGTCGTCGTCCGCGGCAGGAGGCGGCGGGATGAGCAGCAGCAGGCAGGCCAGGTGGGAGGTGTCCAACGCCAAGACGTGGCTCAGCGCCGCGATGGCCAACGAGGGGACGTGCGCCGACGGACTGGTGGAAGCTGGCGCCACCGCGGCTTCTTCGCCCGCCGGGAAGGAGGTCACCGCCGGCGTGGCGACCGTGAAGCAGTACACGAGCAACGCCCTCGCGCTCGTCAATGCCATAACACTGTGAAAGTGTGCAGTAAAGCGTGGACTAATTACTAGTGCCTGTGATAGTGTGGCTTGTGAAATGTGTTAGTATCATGAAATTGTCAAGCTGTACAGTGGGGAACGTGGAGTGGATTGGAATTTTCGAAGAAATGTCGAAAATCATTGCCAAGTCCTACAGTTGAAAACATGGAGTTGATCGGGATTTTCGAAGAAATGTAAAAGTTAATTGCATTATTCTGACCCCCTGACCAAACCTGAACTAAAACACCGAGCCTAGGGCGTGTTTGGTTGATGGCCAAAATGTGTCACATTTTCCACCGGGAAAGAGGTTATACAACACTCAAAATTTTGTTGCAAAAAACTGGGTGCAAAGTCAAAGAACAATACCAAATTCAGCGCGGACATCCGTGCATGCTTTCCAGTTTCCGAGGAATTCGAGTACGAACCGGCGTGTAACAGGATCCTGTAACTCACATATGGGTTTCTTCTTGTAAGATGTAACAGTTTGTTTGATGCCGTGTTGTTGATTTGGGCAGCAGCCACCCTGTTGTCCAACGGTAGTTTTGTCTCGTAACGCAGAGATCGCAGATCTCACCTGAGCTCCTGAAAAGTAGGAAAAAGGCCATAGGTGTTATACAGAGGTACAAATAAAGTATACAGCCGGTTCGCTGGTTAGTTTTAGCCAGAGCTTATTAGCCATGGTACAATATTTTTCTCTCAAAATTAATCAGCAGCAGCCGGATTTATCAGCCTAGAAACCAACCAACGAACATGCTGATAATTTGTAACTTACACCCTCCCCTATAAGTCTGTAAATTTATATCTACTATATCTATACTAATATTAAAGAGTAAAATTTTCTTTTATTTTTTTCATGGTCCGTGGTACCCTCTCTCACTGTCTGTGTGTCCCTTCACTTCACTCTCTAAAGCATAAAACTCGTAGCTGCTTTTTACTAAGAATAGTCCACTACTACATGTTATCCATCACCAAAGGTTCCAAACCCATCATCACCGCCAGGTCTGGCCCCTCGGTAGTGATTTAGGGAAATTCATTGATCATAAGAACGGTTATCACCTTTGGTTCGAACCAGTGGTGATGGAGTTTCGAGAAATTCCAAAACTAGAGTTTTTTAGTGAAATTCATTGATGATAAGAACGGTTATCACCGTTGGTTCAAACCAGTGGTGATGGAGTTTCGAGAAATTCCAAAACTAGAGTTTCCAAAAAATTCCAAAACCAGACCAAAAGATTTCTAATCCGAAGAGGTGTTATTTGAACCTGAGACTTGTACCCTCATACGTAGCTCCCTTAACCACTCCAACCAAAAGTGACGGGTGCTGACCCTAAATAAATTCAAATGGAAAAGTCATCAACTACAAAGTTGTAGTTCTTATCGAGATCTATAACTTTGGTTTTGGTTGTTTCGCCATCGGAGGTCGTTTCACAAATTTGAATTTCAAATTGTGAGAACTTAAAACATAATTTTAGCACACAAACGATTTCAAATGAAAAAGTCATCAACTATAAAGTTATAGTTCTCATCGAGATCTATAACTTTGGTTTTGGTCATTTTCCATTCGAGATCGTTCGAAAATTTTGAGTTTTAAATTGTTAGAACTTCGAAAGCATCTGGCCCCTAATTTGGTTTTTTTTTTTGCTATTAATAATGGCAAAATCACTGTGACTAACACATGTTTTGCAGCATCACTACTTTAGTCAGGTCACAATGATGATGACTGATGGGCAATCATGGTTTTCATGCCCCTATTTGATGGTATTTTTGTTTCGATTTTTAAAGGATGAACATGAAGATTAAGGATCGACTAGTTCTAAGTGTACGTCATTGGTGTTGAGGGACACTAAGAGTAGTGATAGAATCTTTGTTTTTCTTTGGTCATACTATAAAGGGGGTATGAATGGGTAGCTTGACCTAGTTGAATCTATTGAGTGGATGTGGTGTGCACTTGTAAAAACTAGCGCTTGGTAGCCCAGATGAACCCCAAGGATGATTGGAATCAATACCAAACTCAAAGGCATTTGAATTGGACGAGTTTAGTGGTGTTTTGCATGCACCGGACGTGCAACAATGTTGTTTTTCAGATGGAGAACAAGGGCTGACACAGTGGTATCAGGTGTGCGCCGGACATGTGTCCGGTGATGCACCGGACGTCAGCACCGCACCATTCTACTGGAGAGGTATGTTGTGTGCACTGGACGGGTGCACCAGATGCGTTGTACAGTAAACAACTAGTTTTCAAACTAGCCAATGGAGCCTCACCAGACCTATTTGGTGCCAAGACCAGGACTGCACCAGACACGTCCGGTGCACATGTTTTAGTGAGTGGAGAGGCAACAGCTAGTTCTTTGGCTTGGATACCCCTCCATCTCATGCAAGAGACCTCTCTTGGCATTCTAAAGTTGCACATCCCTCCATTTGTGTCAAAGAGAAAGGTTTGGCCTATTGGAGTGATTTGGATTTACTAATTCAAGATTAAGGACTCTATTAGTGCTTAGAGAGCAAGTGTGCATGCACTCTTCTCATTAGGCTTGGTTAGGTCAAGTGAGAGTTTGCGCTTGTTACTCTTGGTGGTCGACATCACTTAGATGACTTGGTGGTGATTGGAAGCTTGTTGAACTCTCGTTGGTGATTGTGGGAGAACCAACTCAAGTTGTGAGCGGTTGTGGGCGATTCACCATGACGAAGAGGCAAAGAATCAAACCGTAGAGAGCATTTGATCCTTGCGCTGATCAAGGGGGAGCTATACCTTCATGCGGGTGCTCCAACGAGGACTAGTGGAGTGCCGACTCTTCGATACCTCAGGAAAACATCATCGTGTTCCTAACCCTTTCTTTACGAGCATTTACATTTGCGCAATTGCTTATATGTTTTTACATTCCTAAAATTGACATGGTAGCTTAGGTTGAACTAGGCTGCTAAACTTTTGTGCGGACTTTAGAAACACTTTTAGGCACAAGGGGTGAAATGGGCTAAGTAACAGGAGATTAGCCCAATTCACCCCCTGGGTATCTTGATCCTTTCAAACTTGAAACATGATTTATGGACCGCAAATTATTTTAAATGAAAACTCATCAACTACAAAGTTATAGTTCCCATCGAGATTTACAACTTTGGTTTTGGTCGTTTGGACAATTCAAAAAATTGAATTTAAAAAGATGAGAACTTTAAACAGAATTTTAGTATTGTAAATGACTTCAAATGAAAAGATCATCTGTTACAAGTTGTAGATCTCATCAAGGCCTACAACTTTTATATAGAGTTTGTCTTCATTCAACTTGATTTAAAGAAGTTACTAGTTTTACTATGCCGTAACATGGTAATTACCGCCAGCTCGTAAGTCAATTTTTTTTTTTTGAACTAAACGGAGGGGAGAGTTTCCCCACCTTTCCATTCAAAAGCACACGCCCAAGTTAAGTAGGACGTGGAAAAGAGTTTGAGGTACAATCGCGGAGGTGAGCGTATTCACCAAAGCAGCCGTTCCTAGCTCAGAGGAAGGCGCTTGCGCCAAGTTACAAGGTCATCACAGACACCTCGAAAGAACCACGCGATTACAGAAATTTTCATTACGGAATACATACCCATTCCGACCGTCCCGAGATACGCCATAAGATAGTCGGGAAGATGAAAGGCCGAGAGTCGCTTCTAGATTTCTTTGGAGTGTCCGCTTCCCATGCTTCATCATCCGCCATCATCTGTCCCACATCGCCCATGCCTATTGCGGTCCACAGCGCATCACTTTGTTCGCAGCCAAGAAAACGTGTCGCTTTGTTCTCCGGTGCCTAGCGCAAGGCCGCATTGTTCGCCGTCGACGATGTGTTTTGCATGGAGGTTCACCCTTGTCTTTGAGCCGGTCTTTGAAGTACGCCAAGCGAACACCTTGACCTTGTTTGGTAGCCTTGTCCGCCAAACACGCCCACCCGTGCGCGTGTCGGTGTGGTCACTGAAGAGTCGAGGGCTGCGAGGCATCCCTAGTGGAGTAGGTGTGCCCGTCGACTTGAGTGTACCGTAAGTCGGGGCCGTCGCCGATGTTCATCTCCCCGCAACAAAGAGAGCGGGCTGCCTAGCTGATGGCTAGCAGCATTAGTGAGTCGAGGACGCAGACGCAAATCAAAACCACTCACGGAAGACGCTTTTGCACCGAGATGTTAGGCATAGTGGTGTGTGTGAACAAAGCATGATGGGTGGAGAAGAGGGGGCGGCAGGGAAGCCAATGGTCGAACCAAAAGGAGGTTCTTGGCGCCATTGTTGACTTTGACGATGGTGATGGAGCGAAAAGGTGGTAAGCTCGTCATTGACATGCGCGCCAGAGGAAGCTAGACGCGCCCGATCGGGGTATCGAAGGAGGAGGCACCGTAGAAGCCAATCTTTCCACCTGGTTTGTTCTCCACCGAATAATTTGTTGACGAATTTCATCGCAAGCACCGGGTTCAAGCTCCGGTCTTTTATTCCCAGCCCGCCGGCGCTTTTTGGGAGCTTGGACCGTGTCCCAAGCGACAAGGCATTTGGAACCGTGGCAGCTATCTTCTCCAGATCGAAGAAGGCACGACGTCTCTTGTCGATGGCCTTGAGGACTATCTTAGGCACGCTTGATTGCGTAGACATGTAGTGAAGCGGAGAGCGCTTGTTGAAAGAAAGTGCAGAGGGTGGCGCTTGCATGTTAAGAAGAGAGGCTCGCCAACTGATAAGTATTTGTCGCAAGAGGTGATAAAGGCAGGCAATGTAAAGCAGAGACTTTGTGAGGGGGTAAGAGGTAGTCCAAGGTAGGTCTCGAGGGAAGGTGGAGGTGGTGGTGCCAAAAGAGGTGGCAAGGGCGGCGGCTTCGTCGTCGGGACGGCAATTGGTAAGAAGGTAGTTTTGTGGTAGTTGATGGCCAAGCCGAGTAGCTTTCTCGAACAAACCGCAGGATGTGTTTGGTCGCAGAGATGGCGTTGGGGGTGCAGCGATGAAAACAAAGGTGTCATCGGCGATTGGAGGACGGGCACGGCTCATCGGGAGGATGGG